TGTTTATATATAAGTTGTGTATATAAATATATATTTAGTGGAGATTTATTTTCACATAAGTTTTAAACATCAAATTTATATAAATTTTTAATAATTTATTTTTTTATTTTTAATAATTAAAATTTATTCACGTTTATTAAAGATAGTTATTTTTGTTATTTAAGCAATCATAATAAATTTTAATTATTAAAAATTAAGAAATAAATAATAAAAATTTTATATATAAAATTTATATGAAATTGAATCCTTTCACTGTATATTTTTATATATACAAGAGTAACAAGATCCTATAATCATATCTAAAATCTAATGGATTCTTGATTTACTAACTAGTGCTTGTGGTATACTTGTTTGTCCTTTCGATTGATTCCATCATAATTCTGTTTTTTTGTCGATGACCGTTAGATTATTTGCATTAACTTGTGTTTGTTCCTTATATATATTAAGGCTTCTGTCTTGCTTGAGTTGATTGTTTTTCCTTGGAGGTTACCTCTTATCACTCCAGCACCACGCGAAAATACTCTCCCATGTTTATTCAAAATCAATTAGATTCCCTCAGGGTAGAATTATTATGATTCAAACAAATACAAGACAAAGGTAAGAAGACTATTATAACAACAGCTTGGAATAACTAGAATTCACCCGAAATAGATTGCTTGCCGGCTTTGGTAGGTTTTGTAGTGAGGCCAAATCCAAATGGGAAAAGGGGATCATAATGAGAGTCCCCAACATTCATTGGCAGCTGATCAACAGTCTTGAACCAAGTACGGGGAAGCTTGCCAGCGAAGCCATAGTCGCCAAACAACACATCTGCGACACCCTGACCTTCTGTCCCAGGTAGCCAGGCAGCAACAAGAGCATCCATTGAGTCAAGATATGGTTGGATCACAACTGGACGACCAGAGATTATGATAACAACACATTTCACTGCTCCACACACGTTTGTAATCGTGCTTGGGCCCGGGTCAGGAATGGTCAGATTCAAACTGTCACCTTGTGTTTCTGCATAAGGGTGCTCGCCCACAACAACAATGGCATAAGAGAACTTATTGGACTTGACAAAGTTGAAATCAGGATTCTCCTCATATACAACTTCAGTTTCGGGGTCAACTGTATTCTTGATGGCAGTGAGGATTGTAGTACCTGTTCATGAAGAGGATCATGCAAAACATTTTTGTTAATGATGCTATGAAATGAAGACCTATAAGGGGGATAAGCACTACCTGTGTACAGTATACATGCTACATAATTAAAATCCTCTGGTTTCATCTTATTCACACCAATAGTTTGTGATATTAGAAGACTGCTTGGAAAAACTTGGGGGTATATTAATAACAAAATGATTATGGGGTTTGTGGTGTGTTTACCACTTGTGAGGTTGTTGCCGCTTAGTCCCTGCCATTCAATTGTCCACCCACCGCATTGATAACCCAGATTGTCAGCATGGCTACCAGCAACTAGTATTTTTGCTGCTTTCTTAGGAAGAGGAAGCACTGGTTTATCAGCAGATTCTCCATTCTTTAGCAGCACAAGTGATTTCCTCACAGCTTCCCTGGCCAATTCTCTATGTTCCTGTTCAATTGTGACAGAAAATTAGGATTTTTTCTTTTTCAATCATTTAACTCTTAAGAGTAAAATGACTGGTAGCTAACCTTACGACCAAGCTCATCCACTAGGCTGTAATCTGCCAGTGGTTTCTCAAACAGACCCATTATAAACTTAACACGCAAAATTCGTTTCACTGCATCATCAATTCGGCTCATGGTGATGATCTTATTTTTCACCTGGTAGGTTAGTCCATCAATGAATTCTGTATAGTTGTATGGAACCATGATCTGCACGGTGCAGAAAACCAATATTAGAACATGAAACATGACAAGTACAGATGAAATTGGTAAGGAAGAAACTGGGAAATTAATGAGTAACCATATCAATGCCAGCATGGATTCCTGTTTGAATGGAATAGGAGTAATTTGCATGCGGTGGAGATGTGATCCTGTCAATACCCTGCCAATCTGAAATGACAAAACCCTGGAAAATGTGGAAAATTTTACAAACCTTTCAGCTACTTAAACATAATGTGATAGAATTGAAGAAACCTTATTTAAATCCAGGATAAAATAGTCATACCCTGAAACGAAGAGTGTTCTTAAGAAAGCCTGTTATAAGCTCATGGTTGGCATGCATCTTAACTCCATTCCAACTTGAGTAGGAGATCATAATAGTTGACACACCTCTGATAATTGCATTATAGTAGCCTGGCATATGAATGCTAAGCAAACCATGTCTGTCTATCACAGTGTTATTCTCATTGATGCCATCAGTTGTCCCACCATCTCCCACATAATGCTTGGCACAAGATGCAACGTTTTTCCTGGACAATAAATGAGAAAAAAAAACAAAAAAAAAAAAGGGGAAAGAAATTAGGATAAAAAGGAAATATTATTTCATAACTAAATGTACAGCGTAATTAACATCCCAGGACCACCACCAACAGGTAATATCTGGTTCAATCAGCTATTATTGTTCCTAAAGGGGCTTCAAGGTTCTCCATCTGTTTCCCTGGATCAGTCCCTCTCTCCACATCCCCACTCTCCCCTTCTAAAATAATTTCTAAGACCACTAACAGACATCTGGTGAGGAAGGACGACAAAGACTGCTCTTTTGGTTTCACATGCCTCAATTTTTAATAAATCAGCTTTGCAAAAAGGGCGAGTCATTGTATGGAGAGGTTGCATCTGAACCAGGTCAGATGCAGCTGAGTTAGTACAAGAGTCCACCCTCTTATTTATTCTTTACTTGGTTGGGTCTTTTCATTCTGTCTTTGTCCATTTACATAAGTGGATCCTCGGTCCAGACCAGTTGGTCCTCAACCAAATAAGTCCAAAATGTTGTTTTCATATGCATCATCTACACAAACCTTTCATTTGTTTTATCATCCAGCATTAACATGCTAAGGAAATGGACTGACAGATTTCTGGGAATACATCTAAGGTGGAAAATTAGAACTTTCAATTATGTTAAATAGACCAAAACTGATACGGATGGATGTGTAATGCAAGCGGGACTTAAACTTAAATGTAAAGGCACAAATATGCCCAATATTTACTCTTACTAATTATTATCAGATATTCACTGATCCTGATAAAGAAATAAGTAATCAGGATGGGAAGTGATGCAGTTCAGAAAAGAGAACACTTTATGAATAAAATTTTAAAATCAGAGAGTTATACTTGTATGGTCTGCAATATGCCTTACTTTCCAGCAACATATGGAACGCCCTTGGGAGAGCCAGCTGGGATTTCTCCTTGCAATCCAGAGATAATTTCAGTCATTGCTTGAACAACCTTGGGATCTTCACTGTAACTTTCGTAACAGCGACCCCATCTTGGATCTCTGCAAACCTGTATATAGGAAAGTAATAAAAAGTTCAAACAAATCAGAAGCAGATAGTCTGTTATTTTAGAAGAGATTTAGTTCAATTTTCTTAAATACTGTCACAATACCAGCCCAGTGTATTCTTCCAACCCATCCACAAATATATACAAACATAAGAAGAATAAGTAAATATACCGCTATGCAAGGTGCAAAAACATATTGAATGCCTGTTGCTCTGACTTCTAGTGCTGTTGCAGCTCCAATTTTCTTAACAAGCTCAGGTTCCCTGTTTGAGGAGAGAATATCTTATTGAAGACATTGCAAATGAAATGAAAGAAGCATACCACGCAATTTCACAAGTTTTCACAATTTTAAACTTCCCCTGATTTCTGATATTTAAGGTGATAGAAAGCTAAAGAGGACTGGGAAACGGGAAAATATTAGCAGCAACTATATCTACTTGCCTGGTAGCGCCTATTCCAATATTGTGAGGAAATATTGTTGCCTTGTAAACATTATTGTGTCCATGGACAGCATCAATCCCATAAATCATTGGAATTCCTAATCGAGTAGATAAAGAACCATTTTGGAAGTCATTGAACATGTTGATCCAAGTCTCTGCAGAAGCCTGGGGAGCTGGAACACTCCCTCCTCCACTCAATACGCTCCCTGAAAAAGCAGGAATCATAGTGGAGTTGGTCTCTTGTTTCTCAGAAAATAGAAAAAGAGGAGTAACAAGCAACGCTTACCTATGAAATACTTCTTCATCACCTCATTAGAAGCAACACTGCGGTCAATCTGCACCATTTGTCCTATTTTTTCCTCCAATGTCATCCTCTTCATGAGGTCTTTGATCCGAACATTCAAATGTTGTTTTGGATCTTTATATTTCATATATTCTGCTTCTACAAAGGCTGCCAAGCAACAACAAAGCAGAAGCCCCATCAAGAAGACGGGTATCCTTGCCATTTTCCTTTTTCCTTTCAAACTGCCTTCAAATTGGAAAAAAAAGAACACAATGCCGATTAGCATTATAGTCAAGTGGTAAGAATCACTCTAACAAGTAATGCTTATTCCATACACTCAAGATCTCAAAAGTTAAGAACTCCAAGGAAGTACATACACATAATCTAAAATAATCGTGTTAAAAAGTAAAAGACCAAAAGTTAATCAAACAGAAGGAAGCAGACAGATAATAAGACAGTACAATATAACAATCCGAAAAGGGACAACCATCTAATATAAAATTTCATGATGTCATCAAGATTAACCAGGTAAGCTCAAATCCACAAATAAAAAATAAACAAATGATAGTCAATGATTCAATCTTCAATATCTTTATTTACATCACATAATCATATGCAAAAAGAGAAAGAGAGAAAGGGGAAAGGGAAAAACAAGTATTATCACAATTGACAAAAGTTCCGAGAAGATACATTAAATAGATCTGTAAGATCCAAAAAGAGCTAGAAAAAAACAGATGAAAGTATGTCATTCATCAAATAAGGGAGGGAATAAATAATTTAAACTGAGATGGAAGAGTGAAAAGTTGAAGAAAGAAAGCTAAGAAGAAAAGTATAAGCAACCCATCTAAAACATCATTGTTGCATTAGGAAAAGTTTATTAGCTAGCCAAGAACAGGTCAAAAGCAAGGAATCACACCACAACTTCAATAGCATCATTTATTCCAGACAACCGATTTCTCAAAAAAACCCAGAAGACAAACATGAAACTACGAATCAAAACGATTACAAACATTTATGAAAAAAGATCCACCAAATCCCATGAAAGAAAGAACAAGAAACCAATAAAAAAGAGCCCATCATGTCATATGACCAAGATTGCAGAAAATAATTCAAACAGCCAACCAAACTTTGAATTTTCAGTCCATTTTTTTCTCTTGCAAATAGGAAATGGGTAGGGAAAATAACAATTTCAAACCAAAATAACCAAGTTGCATTCATGATCAAGTAAAGCATTTAGAGTTCTTTAGACTCAAGAAATGTGAAGATTCTGGGGCTTCATTTTTTCGCCTTCTAATTTTCTCACCTGACAAACAGAGCATTAAAGAAGCAGAAAAGGGGAGAACGAAAATTGGAAGAGAGGGACCTTACAGGGAGATTGAGGAGAGAATACCCAATCGTCTCTGTTCTTTAGTGTTGAAAAGAGACTCGGGAAGCAGAACCTGGCTGAAGACTGGAGGATAGGGGCGGTATTTATAGAATCCCTTTTATTTTTTTATGGGGTTTTCATAATATTTTACTTTTATTTATTTATTTATTTTTTTTAAACAATTTGTCAAGGACGGCTTGAACCCGCACAAAAAATAAGGAATGCATCTCATGATAGTAGGATGCCACTTGATCCGAAAAAACGGTTGTTATAATATTTTATTTTTATTTTTATTTTTTTTTGAACAATTTGTCAAGGACGGTTTGAACCCGGCAAAGAGGGGAATGCATCTTATAGTAGTAGGATGCAACTTGATCCGAAAAATCGGGTGTTATAATATTTTATTTTTATTTACATTTCGGTTTGAATGGAAAAACTTGAAAAAGAGAAATTGGGTAAGAATAGAAGGGCTCTCCTCCCACGGAGCTGTATTTTTTGATTTTTTTGTGCTAAGGGGTTGGTGGGTGCACATCAGCAATTCTTATCCAATTATTAATTGTCTAGAAAGAGATTTCCCATTAAAAAAAATTTCTTAATTATATTTTCATTTCTATATATTATATATTATTACTTTTTTTTTGTTTAACTCTAATAAATTTAATTTCTTATTTATATGTTTAAATTTAAATATTTTTTAAAATATTAATTAATGAATTTTTTTAATAATTACAACGTATATTAAGTAAAAAATTTTATTTAAATGCTACTTAAATAAGAATAAATAGAAAATTTTATCAATAAATTATTATATATTTATTTTATGAAACAATAAAAAATAAGTCTACTAAAAAT